TAATAATACGAACCTAGTCGTGCACTCGGAACTCAATTAGGAGCTCATTTTTGCAATACGATACCAATTTTGCTCGTTAAATAATTAACTCATGTTTTGCGCTAAAAACCCAATCACCACTTGATGAAATTAGACCAAACTTTCCAGATCAGTCCTATAATTCATTATCAAAATTTTGGAAGTCTTGAAATCGAATTTCAATCTCTAGAACTTAAAATAGACCTTTGAATCATTACATGCTTATGCTGAAAACATCGAACTCATGCAAAACTCTTCCCCGACAGCCTGTAGTGTATCAACTATAACTTCTTTTATTCAACTTCAATTGTCAAATAATTTAAATTTCTGCAAACTAGACACAAAGGACTACAACTTTCAAGTTTTTCTCATCGCCAAACTCCTTATAGATTGTGAGATATAAGCTCCCAAAGTCAGCCATGCACAACAGACATTTCTAGCGATGCACACTGCTGTAGCCAAAATTTGCAGTACTAGCTTTAGTCTATTAATCATAACGTTTTGTACAGATGTCTAAATGATGAATGATTTGACATTTTGGAAACTAGACTCAAAGGGCTACAACTTTTATGTTTTGATAATTTTCATATTCCTTATAGATTTCGAGATATAGGCTTCCAAATTCAGCTCTGCGCATAAGAAATTTCGTACATTGCTATAAAAAAACCATCAATTAAAAATGATACGAAACCACTCCGAAACTCACCCCAGGCCTTCGGGACCTCAACCCAATACACTAACAAGTACTAAAACATCATACGAACTTAGTTGATATCTCAAATTACATAAAACAATGCTAAAACCATGAATCATACCTCAATTCAAGCTTAAGGAACTTAAGAATTTCCAACTTTTTTATTCGATGTCGAAACCTACCAAATCAATTCCGATTGACCTCAAATTTTGCACACAAGTCATAAATGACATAACGGATCTATGAAAATTTTCAGAGCTGGATTCTGACTCCGATATCAAAAAGTCAACTCCCCGACCAAACTTTCCAAAAATTCAACTTTCGCCATTTCAAGTAAAATTTCACTATGGACTTCCAATAATTTTTCGGACACGCTCCTAAGTCCAAAATTACTATATGGAGCTATTGGAATCATTGTAACTCCATTTCGGGATCGTTTACACATAATTCACTATCCGATCAATTATTTTAACTTAAACTTCCAAAACAAGAATTGTTCTTTTAATTAAATCCTGAATCATCTGAAAACCAAACTTGACCACCCTCGCAAGTTATAATACACATTTCAAAGCTGCTCGAGACCTTAAGCTACCGAACAGAATGTAAATTCTTAAAACGACAAGTCGGGTCATTACAGTATTCTTAAATACTGCATACACTGCAGAAAATTAGGACACAACATGATCAATTGCAGAGCATTAGAGAATAAGAATGTTGCCTCAAATTAAGAAAAATAAAAGCCTACTAAAGAGGCCACTCAGAACATACAAGAAGAGGAAATGGGCACTCAGAATGACAATGCCCTGCTGAATGATACTAATGATAAACTAGGAAGATCTGAAAAGGAGAGTGAAGATGCACTCACAGGTCAATCTCAGAAGATTAAGGAAACACAAGCCATAGAAAACAATAAAAAAAATGAAAAGGTCCAAGGAAGTGAAGAGGACAACAATACAAACACACCCAAGGAGGCAGAAGAACCACAAGAACTACATCATATGAATAAGAAAAATAAAAGTGGTAAAAATAAATTAAAAAAGATGCTAAAAAGAAAAAAAAGGTAGTGTTTAAGTGTATCTCTAGAAAATACAAAGAGAAACAAAAACAGGAAGGAGGTAGCAATGGCAACAATATTGATGAGATCAAGACAGATGGGCATAGTGCTCAATTTTCAGTTACAAATAAGGATGATAACAGAAGAGAAATAGAGGAAGAGAACAAAGGACATGAAATGGGAGTGTCAGCAGAAGAAACACATGTTAGTAACTCAGTGAAATTGCAGAAAGAGAATGATATTCATTCTGGGGATCAGAGGCGGACCCAGGATTAGAGCAAGACGGGTGCACCACAGTATGCTAATTACTAGCGATAAAATTTGGTGTGCAACTCTTTGAAAACTTAATATTATGATGACTTACCATTCAAATATAAACAAAAAAAAGTACTAAAGAAAAAGAAAGCACCGAACAAAGAGAGATTTCTTCGTAAAATGGATGCTATAGGAAGGGAAGGTGTTTGATTACGTATGATTAGTATTTTAATAAATGAAAAAGAGGCCAATGATCAAAATGGCGTCCAAACTTTAAATTATCAAAATTTAGTAAAGAAATCAAGATTATGGGTATGTTAATAGTCAAATAACTGAACAAGGGTTTCAAACTCTCAGTTGCCATTGCTGAGTCAGAGTCAAAGTGATTGTTGAAGAAGGCAGTTGTAGAAGAATTCTAATTTTTCTATTTGTGGAGCGATATGTTGCAATTTGAGGCTTTTAATTTTAAGGTAGAGATTTGAAAAAGAATAAAACTAATTAAGTTGATTATTATGTATATTAGTACTAAGCTATAGTTGAATTCAAAAAGAAGATAAAAGTTAAAAATAAAGTAATTTGCAGAGTATTAACTATAAAAACTGTTATATTCCAAGAACTAAAATAAAAAGGAGAAAAGGCTGAAGTAGGGTTTCGAACCCTTATCATCCAGCCATTGAGCAAATTTAATTGCCCAACACAACCACTCCTCCATTAGCCTTTCTTTGTTTGGGGGCACAACTCAAATATTTATTGGGTCTCATATATATGGATAGATATATATAACATATATACATTATTTTTGCCGAGACTAACGGGGTCCCGTGACCCCTCAACCCACAACGTAAGTCCGCCCCTGCTGGGGATACTAACAAAGAACAAGATGATGAAGAAGGAGATTCTATGGCTGTTGGACTTCCTAGTTCTCCTAGTCTACCTTCGGATATCAAGAACCAGGAAGAAATTGCAATATTTGTGGAACTGATGTGTGACAACAATCTAGAACATATAGGTAATGCTAATCCTGGGGTAAATGGTGACTTTGGGAAGAGTCCTACTGAAAATGGTGACATTCAGAACAAAGATACTACTGAGAAAATTACTTGAGAACTTGTGGAAGAAAACTGCAATACTCACAGCATGATCAACAACCAACAACTTAGAGGAAGGAGACTTCAGAGACATGTCAATCTTTTGAGGACTGCCTTTGAAGAATCCAGATCCAGCCGAAACAATGACCCAAAGACCTTTATTACATACAGAATCAAGGAAGTTTAGATGATGTTTCATCTAGAGGAAGAAGTATAATCAAGAAAAAAAAGGAAAAACAACAGACCTAAGTCCATATCCAAATCCAAAAGAAATGGAAAGGGACATAGACATAGTGCTACCCCCATCTATTCCATGATCAGTGCCATTTTTTGGAATATTAGGTGTATAAGAGCTCAGAAATCTTACTTTAGACTCAAAAACCTTGTCAACATTAATAAAATGGCTTTTGTTGTTATATATGAGCCCTGTATGAATATGAACAAGATTGAAGGTTATAAAAGATACCTTGGATTCCGATATTGTAGGACTAACTCTAATGGTCAAATATGGTATTTCTAGAAGGGCCTTGATCACACCATTTGTATTGCTGACACTGATCAACAACTCACCTTGAACATGAAAGATACTCCCAATGAGATTGGTACGTTTGTGACTGCAGTATATGCTAAATGCACTCTAGTAGAAAGATAAGATCTTTGGGATTGTATTGGCAACCTCCACAATCAAATTAAGGTTCCTTGGTATATGGGATGAGACTTTAATATTATCATGGATCTGGATGAGAAGCTGGGTGGGCTGCCACATAGAATGTAAAAAATTATAGAGTTTATCAATTGCATGGAGGCTTGTGGACTAAGTGATATTGGCTTTACTGGACCTAAATACACTTGGTACAACTATTGAAGGCCGAGTAAGAGAATCTGGATGAGGTTAGATAGAATTCTCATCAATGATAACTGGGTTCAAAATTTTCAAAATAATTATGTTAAGCATCTATCCAGGTCTGGGTTTGATCGTAGACCACTTTTGCTTAAATGTCAAAACTTGAATCAGACTCACATTAAATACTTCAAATTTATAAACTTCTGGGTGAATCAACTTGATTTTCTGGATATTATACAAACATCATGGAATGAAGAAGTAAGGGGCAATGCTATGTGGAGGCTACGAACAAAAATAAAAAGGCTTAGCAAGTTTATAAGTATATGGTCCAAACACTAAATTGGTGATATCCAGGAACAAGTGGAGGATTGGAAAACTAAGATTGAAATTTTAGAGGAATTGGACATTATGCATAATACTAAACATGGAAGAGAAGACCTGAACAAGGGATATGCTGAATATACTAGATGGCTCAACATGCAGGATTCCATACTGAAACAAAAATTAAAGCTTCAATGGTTTAAAAATGGTGACAGAAATACCAAATATTTTTATAGTGTTTTGAGAAGTAGAAGAATGAGACTCAACATATAAAAGATCAAAAACCATAAAGGCAAATGGGTGCAAAGAGATGATAAGGTGGCAAAGACTGCTGTCAAATACTACAGGAAATACTTCAATTTAAATCTCACTGAACGAGACAACAATATTCTGGATTGCAAACTTCAATTCATTACTGCTCAAGACAATCTTATGTTGACTAGTATGCCTGATGAGTAAGATATCAAGAAATTATTGTTCAACATTAGTAAGGACAACTCCCTAGGACCTGATGGATACAATGGTATGTTCTTTCAAATTTGCTGGAATATTATAAAAATTGATATTACGGCTTTTGTTAAATAATATTTTTTTGGTAAATCTTTAACCAAATTCTACACTCCTACTTGTCTCACTTTAATTTTCAAAATTGATTCTCCCACTAGTTTTGCAGAATTAAGATCAATTAGCCTTAGTAACTTTACTAATAAAATCATCTCTAAGATTATGGCTAATCGATTGAATCCTCTGTTAAGGGGCTTGATTTATGAAAATCAAAGTGGTTTTGTTTCTGGGAGACCAATCACTAATAATGTAATGCTCAGTCAGGAAATAGTTCATGATATCTCTAATCTTAATAATGGTGGTAATGTTGTTCTTAAACTAGATATGGCCAAAGCATATGATAGATTATCATGGTCTTTCTTAATAAGCTGTTATGTAGGTTTGGCTTTAATGATGATTGATGTAATTTGGAGAAGTATTTCTAATGTGTGGTACTCTATAATTGTGAATAGTACTAAACACGGCTTCTTTACTTCTTCCCAATGTCTTAAACAAGGTGATCCCATATCTCCATACCTTTTCATCATTGCTGCTAAAGTTTTATCTAGATCCCCGAATAGTTTGCTACATAACAATGCTTTCATTCCTTTCTCAATGCATAGAAATGGACCTCAGATTACTCACTTGACATATGGTGATGATGATGTGATCTTTAGTAGTGGAAATACCAAGTCCATAAAGTTGATCATGAAACAAATTATGAACTATGAATGTGTTTCTGGACAGAAGGTTAACATGGACAAGAGTTCTTTTCTCACTGATCCCAAAACATGTGCATATAAGATCAATAAAATTAGAGTTAAAACTGGCTTTCTGAATAAAAAATTTTCTTTTAATTACCTTGGTTGTCCTATTTGCATTGGTTGGAAAAAAAATCTCTTTTTTTGATTGCATGTGTGCCAAGGTTATTAATAGGTTGAATCCATGGCAAGGTAATATGCTTTCATGTGATGGTAGACATGTTCTAATTAAATTTGTTATTCAATCTTATCCTATTTGCATTTTATATGCCATTAATCCTCCTAAAGGAACTTTGAAGCTCATTCAAAATGATATTGTTAACTTCTTCTGAGGTACTTGTAATGGTAAAAACAAGTACCATTGAACTTCTTGGGAAATTTATGTTATCCAAAGAATGAAGCTGGAATTGGTATCCGGGGAATGAATGATTTCTCTGATGTTTTATACGTCAATACCACACAAGAGAGGGGGAAAGAGGGGGTGATTTGTGTGGTATTCAATTTTTCGCGTGCACAGATTATAGAAGGACCTGGTTCTTCTATGTATTCCAACTACTACTGTTGCGGAATAATAAGTACAGAAAATAAAGAATACGGAGATTTTTACGTAGAAAATACCTGTCTCAAAAGGTGAAAAAACCACGACCTACTTTCCAGTAGGATTTTTTCAAACTCTCCACTAAATCATTGAGCCAAAAACTGCATTTACAAAACAGTTTTGTAAACCTAGGATTAACTCTAATCCCGTTGTGACAACCGGCCTCTAACTACTGCGACAACTTCAAGTTAACTCTAACTTGAATACTCTGAGTACCTATTACAATTGTCTCAAGATAAAGCTGAAAGGTACAATATGAAAACACCTACTATAATTGAACTAGAATAAAAGGAAGACACTTGGAGCTAGTTCTTCTATCTGGTTCATGTAGCTTCAGGTTCGCACACTTGAATCACATACGAACTGCTTGCAAAATGCCTTGCTATTTTGCTCTCAATTCACTTAACTTCTGCTTTTGTGCGTTACATGTAGAATGAGAACATCCTGCGATTTATAGAGTTAGTAGAGTAGAAAATAACTAGAGTTCTAATGCTACTCTTCCTTGGTAGAAGAGTTCTAGTTGATCTCAACCTCTAACTCCTCCCTTATCTTGGATAGTATTCTCTTTGATTAAGGAGTCATTCTCTTTATCAATTATGCAACCCTTTTCGATCAGGAGATATCTATTATTATGCCAGATTTCATTTATCTCTTGTATGTGCATCTCACGTGCTTTGAATCTGCCCGTGTCTATGCCTACGAGTGATGGACCTGGTTCATCCTTGAGTTCCTTTGTCAATATTCAAAACTATTCTTTACTTGGGCCAACAAATTCCTCCTTTTTGACGATGACAAACTCTGTGCTTCCATAAGCTTAGGCCCTGTTTCAACTTAGCTCAACATCAACACAATGTTGATGATGACAAACTCTATGCTTCCATAAGCTCAGGCCCTGTTTCAACTTAGCTCAACATCAATACAATGTTAGAAACATTTTTCCTTTTTATCACTTATCATCAAGGACCAGGTTCATTAGGTTATAAACATCACTGTTCAGAGTGTAAAGCACAACCTTTTTTCCCCTTTTGGCATCATCGAAAAGTTGCATAAAACATGTAAGATAACCATATTTTAAAACTTACGCATGGCCACTGGGGCTATTTTTAATGCAATCATGGATTAATCATCATAGATCAAGCTAAGAATTTTAACCATCAAAGAAATATAAACAAACGGTTAGAGCAAAAATAGTGAATTTCATTGATGATTGATACGATTCTTCCACAAAGCATAAAAAAAAAATAAAAATATTGAAAACATGAGCAAACAAAAAATATCCCAAACTGGGTCGCTGGTTGATCTACACTAGGCTAGGAGTTTAAGGCTTGGAAGAACTAGGGGCTTGGTTTTTGGCTTGGAGGCATGTCTTGATGAATTCCATCATTCTTCTCCTTTTTCCTTGCTAGTTTAGTTCTGAGAGCATCTCTCTCAGACTCTACCTCAGCTAACTTTTATTCAACCTCTCAATCTTAGCATCCTTAGCCCTACTTTCTTGCACCAAGGCTCGCACCTTGCTATTCACTGGTACCTTCTTAGATAAATCGGGTTCTTTAGGGGTGACATGGACTTCATAGTCACAAGCAGGCAGCGTATTTGCCCCAAAATGATCCTTGCTTGTACCAACTTTCCTTTCTTCTTTGGATTATAACTTTCAATCACTCTCTTGAGTAGGTCTGCGAGGGTTTCCTGTTCAGATGAAACAGGTTCATCTATATTTTTCCCAAGTTGAACCAGCGCTTCATCGGCTTCGCCAGACCCACTTCCCCCTATTTTCTTTACACTCTCCTCTACTCCAGCAGATTTTTCTCCCCTAACAACCATTGCACCTGTGTCTTTGGTTAAACTCACAGGAGTGGGTAAAGAATCAACCACTCTTTTACCCTTTCCCCTCATAGCACTTCGAACACCCTTGCTCTCTTTTTCTTTTTCTTTTTCATTTTTACCACTAATTCCTCCAGACTCTGTAGTTTTAACACCTGCTTTAGACCCTACTAGTACAAACCTATTCTCCAAATTTGTTTTCTCCTCGCAAGAACCTTACGAGCAAGCATCTTTACTCTTTATTTAGAGGTTGGGGTGGTGGAAGGGATGATAGTGGGTGTGGAAGTCTAATCAAACTGAATTTCAGTTTTGAAAAGACTTTGGAGTGTATCCCTAGAATCTAGGTACTTCAATTCGGTTGGGACTCTTTTGAAAAGGACTAGTTTACTTGTAACGGATAAGTCCAAAAGGAGTTTGGAATTAAGTAGGACTCTGCTCATGATCCAAATATTATTATTTTAAATTATGTAGAGTGTAGAAAACATACCGTGTTATCTTGATGAACCAACTTCTTCACTGAGAATACTCTTGTGTAAGTCTAAATTTTCCAAAATAGAGAAAATATCATTAGAGATTAAATGAGTCATTTTAACACATGGCACAAGAGTATACTATTGAAAGTATGAGACTGAGCAAAAATCAATCTAATTATGTACACAATTTTCAGATTTGCTAACAAAAAAATATTTTATTTTTCGTTGTGTACTTTGAACTGGTCCTTTTAGGTGATCTTAATCATCCCTAATTTTAACTTGTTCCTTTCAAAGTGATATCTACTTAGGAATTTTGTGAAGATGTCAGCTATTTGCTTGTCAGTAGCACAAAATTCCACAGTGATCAACCCCTTTTCATAGTTATCCCTCAAAAAGTGATGCCTAATATCTATGTGCTTAGTTCTCTTGTGATGAACCGGGTTCTTGGTCATACTAATTGAACTAGTGTTATCACAAAAAATAGGGATACAACCAACATCAATTTCAAAGTTCATTAATTGTTGTTTGATCCACAATAATTGAGCACAACATGAAGCAGCAATAACATACTCAGCTTCAGCAGTAGATAAGGCCATTGAATTTTTCTTTTTGGTGGTTTAAGACACATGACATGAGCCAAGAAAGTGTGTTATACCTAAGGTGCTCTTTCTATCCACAATAAAACCTGCATAATCAGCATCTGCATATCCCATAAGATTAAAATTACTACCTTTTGGATACCAAAGACAAATATCAGTGGTGCCTTTTAGAAATCTCAAAATTCTTTTGACAGCAGTCAAGTGAGACTCCTTCAGATTTGCCTGAAATCTTGCACAAAGGCCTACACTAGAAACAATGTCAGGTTTACTAGCAGTGAGATACAACAATGAGCCAATCATTCCCCTATACAACTTCTAATCAACAGATGAACCAGGTTCATCTATATCCAACTTTGTAGCTGTTGCAATAGGAGTGTCAATTTCTTTGGAATCTTCCATTTTAAAACTTTTAAGCAACTCTTTTATGTACTTCTGCTGATGGATCATAGTTCCATTTGAATTTTGTTTAATTTGTAAGCCTAAAAAGAAATTAAGCTCACCCATCATGCTCATTTCAAATTCACTCCTTATCAATTATGCAACCATTTTCAATCAGGAGATATCTATTATTATGCTAGATTTTGTTTATCTCCTGCATGTGCATCTCACGTGCTTTGTATCTGCCCGTGTCTATGCCTACCAGTGATAGACCTAGTTTATCCCTGAATTCCTTTGTCAATTTTTAAAACTATTCTTTACTTGGGCTAACAATCTCTAATACACTTACCATCAAAAGATGGTGGCATTTTAGAGTTAGTAATTCTATGTGGGCTGACTATCTCAAGGCAAAATACTGCCCTAGAGTACACCCTGTTGGTAAGAAATGGTGCAGTGGCAACTTTCAAGTTTGGAAACATCTTCTTTGGGCCAGAGACAAGTGTGAAAATCAAATCACTTGGAGGATTAATGCTGGTAACTGTAGCTTTTGGTAGGACAACTGGACAGAATTGGGACCTTTGGCACACATTTGTTCAAGCTACATCACTGCTAGAAATGCCAAAAATAAGGTCAATGATTTCATGATTACTAATAGGTGGGATGCACAGAAGCTATACAATACACTACCTAACCAAATTGCTCTACACATTATATCTATAGAGTTGGGCCATGAAGACAAGAATGATTATGCTATATGGAATGATACTGAGGATGGTCACTTCACAAATGGTTCTGCTTAGAATATGATCAGGAATCACAGAGTAATCAATGTCACAATAAACAAAATATGGCACAAATCCATTCCCTTCAAACAATCTTTCATGTGTTGGAGGATCTTCTTTGGTAGAATCTCCATTAGGGAGAACATTACCAGGTTGGATTCTCAAGAAACTAAGGTTTGTAGATGTTGTCCAACCTGTTATGGAGACCTTGAACATGTCTTTGTGGAGGGTAGAGCAGCTGAGTATGTGTGGAAAGCTATGGGCAATCCATAATCAATCATCAACACTTACCAATCAGAGGACTTCTTAATAGGTGGTGGAACATAAAGGCAAGAAACACAGTTCACAAACTGATATTGCAAGCTCTTCCTATCATTATCTGTTGGGAGATTTGGAAATCTTGGGCTGCATGTAAGTATGGTGACAACAACAACTTTTATTTGTATAGAATGGTTACTCAATGTGTTTGGAATATCAAAGCAGTTCTAAAGGATGCTTTTCCTAATGGCGACACTAATGGTAGACCTTATATCACTCTCCTCACAACCTTCCTAGAGAGGCAAAGGGGCTGATTCAACTTGACAAATGGCAGATTCCTTCTTTTAGGAGGAGATATGAAAAATGTAATTTTTTTGTTAGTTAATTTGGATTGATGGATGGAAAGGCTTTTGTATAGGCTTCGCCTTTCCTTGTTTGCTTGGCAAACCTTTTATGTAGACTTGAGGCAAGGTACCATGTCCCACTCTTATCATTGTAATTTATTTAATCTACATGGTAGGGGTCCAAGTCTAACCCCACACACTAGCTCACAACCGAAGGTGCTGGTTTTGAACATTAAAAAAAAAAGAATAATTCAAAGAATAATTTGAGTATGAGAGCCAATAAATCGAAAAGAAATGTTCTTTTACGTTGGAACCAAATGAGACATTTTTACGGTATTTAGGCAAAGTTGAATGACTTTTAATTTTTCTTATAAAAAATTATTTATTGACGTTGTGTGATACTTAGACAAAGTTAAAGAGTGATTTTTTCAGTATAAAAATACTCCTAATATTTAGCGAACTTAATATAAAATAAAAGTTGAATAGCTATAGGTGAAATTAACCTATGAATTAAGGTCTTATTTGAACTTTCTAGTGTAGATGCATGTCCCAAGTGGTTGACCAAAAATTAATGGCATTGCCCTCATCTTAGCGTGAACGCCAGGTTTTATTTTTATTTTTATTTAAAAAACTTTGCTACTTGGGCATGTTTGTCTGATTTCATTAGCTTCCACCTAATTTAATTGATTGCACTCTCAAAAGCGTGCACAATATTGATTACAAGAATTGACTTTGCAGCAAATTTTTGATTAAATTGGGTTATGATCCTTATTTTTATTTGACCCATTTTAATCCGATCGTTTTTTACCTGATCAGTCTATTTAAAACCTATAGTCTTTGTTCACAACAGGAGCTTATTATGAACAGAGTGGGCGCAAATACGACGTTAATAAGTAGAAACACAAACGATAATAAGTTGAAAGCCTGCATCTCACATCAACCTCAAAACATACTGATCACACAATCAGTACATAACACTCAAGAAAGTACAAATGATACGATACATAATCGTAAAAATCACTCAAAAGACTGAAATGAAAAGGAAAAAGAAAAAGAAAAGAAAGACGATGGAAAAGGGAAATTAATTAAGACAATTAAAATGTCAAAGCCACAAGCTTAGTTGGATGGAGGAGGTGAAAGTGTAGGGATGGTAGGAAGTGAAGGCATGTTGGGAAGAGGAATATTGGCAGGCATTGGTGGTAGAGTCATCTTTGGTACAGAGGGCAATGTAGGCAGAGATGGCAATGTTGGAAAAGATGCAACACTTGGCAATGGTGGCAATGTGGCTGCTGTTGGCAAGTTTGGAATAGTGGGCAATTTTGGCATTGTTGGCTGAGGCAATGATGGGATTGTAGGCATGTTTGGAAGTTGCAGTAGGCCGCGAGCAGCATGTGTTGTAGTGATGCTTGATAAGGACAATAATGCTATGATCAAGAAAAGGATTGAGCAGTTGCAACTGGAAGCAGCCATTGTTTATTTTGCTCAAGATTGATGCTTTCTTTTCCAAGGAGGTTAAGTTGTGTTTTGAGTTGATTTGAGTTTGATCATTAGTACTAAAGGGTATATATAGGGGAAGTTAATTATTGGGGGACTATGACGATTTGGTGAGATGTTGTACTACTTTTAAGTCAAGAAGTTTTCTGAAAGTAGTTATGCGTAGATGAAATTTAGATCAACGATATTTTGTGGACATTTGATACAACACTAGTTGGTAAAATCTTTTCTATAGTTTTAAACTAATATTCTATATTGGTTGGGAAGGGACCCTTGTTGTATTGGTCACACGGGTTTGAGCTGCAAAAACAACCTCTTGTAGAAATGTAAGGTAAGATTGTGTACAACGGACCCTTGTGATCCAGACTTTTCCGGACCCCACGTGTAACGGGAGGTTAGTGGACCGGGCTGCCCTTTTATTCTCTATTGGTTGGCACCATTGATAGGATGGTAATCTTGCAACTGCGTTAATACACATAGAACATTCTAAGAAATTCATATTTTTTCCTCTTGAGTAGCATGACTAACAAAACCACGAAATAATTAAAAAAAAAAAAGACAGCAGAATGAAATGTTAATTAACTGGTTTACTGTTTCTCATTTTCCTATAGTTTCTCCTATAGTACAGTTTATTGACAATTGATCCTTGCGATTTTGTTCAACTACCTAGGACATGTTTGCTTGCCCAATAATGGTCAAATAACTAATCAGTTCAACAATACTTTGAAGCCTAACACATTTCCATGTGTAATTTGTCCTCCGAAGAAACAACATGCTTGTTAGGGAGCTAAAAATAATACGTAGTAATATTGATCTCATTAAAAGAATTATTCCTATTAGATTAAGCAAATGTTTGGGTTCTTTACCTTTTCGGAAGTAGTAAAAACTGAAAATGAAGGCGAATATATCATATTTGAACATTTACTCATATAATAACTTCAATAACTATGTCTCAATCCCAAACAAGTTGGGGTCGACGATATATAATGAATCCTCACTTATCTTTAAGCTCAACTCATTCATTATCATTACTAAAATTAAATAAAATTAGAAGTGAAAAATCAAATAAATATATATAAGTAGTAGTAGTAAAATAATAATAATAATACAAAGGCTACTGCATAATAAATGTATAACACTCAAGCGAGCATAACTGATACGATACATATCGTTAAGAATCACTCAAAAGATAAAAACAACAACAGAGAAAAAGGGAAGAAAAAAAAAATCAAACGGCAGAGACCATAGGGTAAGACAGGAAAATGTTGGAAGCCGCAAAATCAGTTGGACGTAGGGCTGTGCATAATTTGGTAAATACCGAATTATCGTATCGAAATCGAAAATTTTAGTATTCGGTATTCGATATTTTGGTATTCGATATGATATTTGGTTTAAGTTTTAAAACACAATTGGTATTAGATATGGTATTTGATATTTTAAAATGAAAGACCGAAATACCGATAACGTACCGAAATATATATTATATTAAATAATACATATTTTATTAATTATAATATAAGTATAAGAAATCTAAAATTTTACTTTCCATTATTCTCTAAGTTCATCAATTAACTCTAAGCAAGTAACACGACATTTCTCTAAGTTTTCTCTCTCTAAGTTGGTATATGTTAGTTTTAGACAAAACTTTTGTCAACAAACGTTTTTAGTTTTGTACTTTTGAGTACGTTAATTAAGAATATTACCGTCTATGACTCTATGCACTAGTTAGTATTCAAACCGAATAAACCAAAATTATCGAACCGAATAAACTGAAACCGAAAGGAGAAAAATCGAACCATACCGAATTTAATTAGGTACGGTATTGGTATAACATTTTACGAAATCGAATATCAAAAATACCGAATCGAAATGTCTAAATACCGTACCGTACCGACCGACGAACACCCCTAGTTGGATGGAGGAGTTGCAAGTGTAATGTAACGACCCGACCGATCGTTTTGCTTTCTAGATCCCCTTCCCCCTAAATAAGACTCTCCGTATATGCTTTTACTATTTTATGATTTGCGGGGATGGTTAGTCCGGGATTTGGAAAGGTTCGGGTTGAAATCGGAACACTTGGTTCCTTAGTTGACTTTTAAAAAGGCCAAGTTTGACTTTGGTCAACATTTTGAGTAAACGACCTCGGAACCAGGATTTGACGATTTCAATAGGTTCGTATGATAATTTTGGACTTCGACGTATGTTCGGACCAGGTTTTGGATGACCCGGGAGTATTTCGGCCTTAATATTGATAGTTGGCACCTTGAAGGTTTTAAAGTTCTTTAAATTTTATTTGGAGTAGGTTTTGGTGTTATCGAGGTCCGTTTGGGATTCAAAGCCGGGAATAATTCTGTATGGTGATTTGAGACTTGCACGCAAAATTTGGTGTCATTCTGAGAAGTTTAAGTATATTTCGGCGCATTCGGAGTAAGTTGGAAGAACTAGAAGTTCATAAGTTAATTCAATTTGGTTTGGGGTGTGATTCTTAGTTGTGATGTTATTTTATGTGTTCCGAGGGTTCGAGCGAGTTCGTTTTATGATTTCAAACTTGTTGGTATGTTTGGGTGGGACCCCGGGGGCCTCGGGTATTAATCAGACGAGGCACATAACTCATTTGGGCTTGGAAGGACAGCTAAAGCACCAGGTTTCTGGTGTAATCGCACCTGCGGAGGGCTAGCCGCAGGTGCGAGCTCGCAGAAGCGAGCCATGGACCACAGAAACGGCGCATCACAGACTGCCCAGTGATCGCAGAAGCGGCAAAGGATCTCACCTGCGAAAGCGCAGGTGCGAAGAAGAAGATCGCAGAAGCAGCTTTGGGCATTGGCCAGTGGTCCGCAGAAGTGGGGAAACAAGCGCAGGAGCGGGACCGCAGAAGCGGAATCCCGTCCGTAGAAGCGAAACAAGCCAGCCTTAGGCACTTCT